ACGAGGTTTCGATTTGTACATGAATCCTTAATAACTGTCAGGTACGTTATTACTGTTCTCTCTCCATTCAATTTTCATTTCTTTTAGTTTTTAAGCTTGGAAATTACTGTTTCTTGATATTTTTCAGAAACCTGCAGTGATCAAGCAAAATAATGACTTGTATGCTGATAATCTACCGGTGTGCCTGTTAGTTTCTTACATGGGTTTCTCTATTGGTCGTCGATTCGTCCATTTTCTGGTTGAATCATGTCAACGTTCCATATGTTTCAATCTTATGTACAGCCAAAACAATCCCGAAATCAGCCATGTTACTGAGGACAGAATTCCTAGTGTGGTCAACAATGATACCGGTGATACTGTGGATACCAGCGTTAGTCTATCCAACAACATTATTGCTGAGGACAGCAGCCCTAGTCTAACCAACAATACACTTACTGAAGATGGCAGCTTAGTTTAGCCAACAATAGGGCTACTGAGGAAGCAGCCATGGTCTGGCCAACAATACTGAGTGTTACTCAGGACAGTAATCCAAGTAGGTAAGTTTTGAGTTGACTCTGGCACAGAAAATTAAAGACATGAACATACACTTACCATGAAGTCAACATTTAACATGTACAGTTGTCATTTAGGTTGGGTGCTCTTTATTGCATGAAGCAACAGTAGTCACCAGAACACACAGAAATTAATTAATGCTATGAATCATTATGATTTAGGGATGATCCAACATGTTTGGCAATAACTGAGTACAGACCTTTCATAAACAAATTGTCAACAAATTTATTACTAAATAGAGAACCAAATAAATAATTAAATTAACTTATGAAAGGGGAGTACATTGTGGAAGCATAGTGGCCAAAATATAAGCTTGAAAAAATGTTAGCTTGCCAGGAGCAAGTTCTCTAGCTCTCTAGCCCTCTCCAAGACGAACAGTTCAGTATAGAGGCACAAACTCAAATAAATTTCAACCGAAGTGAACTTTTAACTAAGAGTGAAACCACAACTTTGACAAGAAACTAAATATGGATACTAAACAATCTAAATGACCACTTCATGTTCTAAAACTTTCTCTGAAAGTTGAATGGTGCTTGAATGACATCAGGTTACTATTCTAAAGCTTAAGTGCCTGATAATGCCAGAACTTATGTCTGAACCTACTTTGGTATTGTCACAATGTCCTTTCTTCTCAAGGCGTGTGTTGTTTCTCTTGGTGATATTTACCCACTCAGACTGCAGATCTGTGTCATGATTTGCCAAAAGTTGTATCATACCCTGATTTTGCAAGGTTTGTTTGCAACTCCTTATTTACACTCTTTATGGCAGAGCTCAGTTTGTCCTTTATTTGTCCTCTTTAAGAAGCTGAATTTCTTTATTTTATCAAACTTCAACTGTTTCAATGAGACATTGATGTAGCAAGGAGGGGGCTGTTGTACATGTACTTTTTGATCCTTTCCACCAAAATTTAGAATTTTCTTTGCTGTTATCAACTTTTAAATAGAGCTGGTCAAGGAAGTTTTTAAATTTTGATCCGTATCGTCCTTGTCTGACCAGTAGCAATCAGACTCAAGTCACCCACAGTGATACTAGCTACTGATGGGAATAGAATNAAAGCTTTAACTTTTTTAACTTTACCTCCAAATAAGTTACTTTGTTTGTCAGGGCATTATCTTAAAGTACACTGTCAGAAGCCAGGTCTGCAAACTCATTCTGTCTGTACCTTTAACCTTCAAATAAGAGTAAAAAATAGCCATATACATTTTGTAATCAAAAGTGAAATCCTGGAAATATTGGAATAAAAGAAAAGAACAGAAAAAAATACATATTATTTTTAGTTAATACTTTTCTTTAATTACGATTAATGAGGTTGATTTATCAAAAAGGTGCTTTATCTCACTTATCAGGAAAAGTTTATTCATTTGCTCAGATGCTGGAGAGTCAATGTATTGGCTGAAGGTCAGATTAATTGTCCAGTATAATCCCAAAATCCTTTATGGAATCCTCAGCTGTGAGATCTTTTTGAAGGACCTTAAAAGTGGGGATTGGTGTTTTGGAAAGCTTCCTACTAGAACCAAAGATGCAGAACTTGGTACTACTGGGATTGATATTTAACCCATTGGTATAGCACCAGGAAGCAACTTGCAGAAGATCTGACTTGAGGTCTGCAACTCCAGCTACTACATCTTTACTTGGGAAGGAGAGGTATGACCTAACACTGCATTTCTTTTTTGAGAGATACGATTAAATTTTACCACCTTTACTCAGAAAGTTCATTCCTAAAAAGGCTCATTCTATAATCTTTTGAAATCCTGAAAACCATGAAGTGCTCTCTGCTTGAATGCAGAATATTAAA